AGACCAAGCTGGCCTCGAACTCCCAAAGATCCACCTGTCTCTGCCTCTCTAGTGCTGGGACTAAGGGTGTGCCATCAGGCCTGGCCATTAGCTTACTGTTTAATGGACTCCTGAGTTGGGGAGGGCCTGTTGACATCTTACCTGCCCTCTTCCTTCTCACCCAGGAACACTCTGTTGGTGTGGCAGAGGGCAAGGAAAGAACAAAGAAGAGTCCCCTCCTATGGCTCCCACTCTGGCCTATGAGCCTGCAGTACACCAGCACACTTCTGGACAATGCTGCATTCATAGCTGAGTGCCTGGATTTCTAAGTGGGTGGCAGGCTACTTGAGGAAAAGATCTTCTGTTGCTCACTTTGGCCCTTCTACAACTGTGTCCTGAGACCGGCATATATTGTCAGATCAATAATGTTGCATGAATCACCCAACCAATGAGGAAGGCAAATCACCTCACACCTGCTAAAATGACTAGAATCCAAAGATTCACACCAGGGAGGACACGGCGATACAAGAACTCTTATATACTGTCTATGGGGTATAAATTAGCATAACCATCATGGAGTTTCTCCGCACATGATATGGCAATCCCACAACAGGTGTATATCCAAAGAAGATGGAATTTATATACTGAAGAGGGTCATTTGCATGTCCGTGTTTAGGGCAGCAACTACTGACATTGGCTAAGACATGAGATCAACATATATATGTGGAGGGAGAGAGGGAGAGAGAGAGAGAGCGCAAGGGAGAGCAAGTCCAGTCATAAAAAGAACGAAAGCCTGTAATTTGTGACACATGGGTGAACCTGGAGAATGCTCATTCAAATAAGTCATGCGCAGAAAGAAAATTATCTCAGCAGGGAATTGGAAGGAGATGATCTGGGAGGAAGACTGACCAGGATGGTGGTTACCAGAGGCATGAGTGACTGGGGAAAAGAGAAGGGGAGACCTCGATCAGAGGTTAAACAACTAGAGGAAGATTTGGTAGTGAGAGGAAGATCCCACCAGGCAATTCTAGAGAGATAAAAAGTAGGTAAGTGCTCACATTGGAAATGACTGCTTATCCGTAGCTCTAAAGGTTCTTTCTTGACTGATAAACGGGTTTTCAAATTGATTGTGGTCAATTGATTGACTCTGAGAACACCCTCAGAATACGGGGCTATATGCTTTCAACAGGTGAACTGTAGGAGAGATGAGTTAAGTCACTTAAACAATGTATTTATTGTTATTGTGTGTGGATATATGATAAGTGTGCAAGAGGAGGGCTTGCTTGAGCCATGGCGCGTGTGGTGAAGTCAGGGGACAACTTTGGGAGTCAGCTTTCTCTTTTTACTCTTGTTCTGAGGCTCATATTCAGGCTACTAATGCTTGTCTGGCAAGAGCTTTTACCCGCTGAGCAATCTCGCTGGTACAAATTGCCTCTTCACAGAGCTGTTTAAAAAATAAATTTAAAATGGATGAATAAATAATGAATAAAAACATTAAAAGGACTGTGTTTTCACTTTCTTTCGGAGCAGGGAAATTGGAGGATTGGGCTTCTCTTACTCTGTGACCTAGACTAGCGCGGAATTTTTTATGTAGCCTAAATTGGCCTTGAACTCGGGGTCCTTCTGCTTCTGCCTTCCCAGTGCTGGGGTTAGAGGCATGCATCAACATTACTACAGCTTCTTCTCCTCCTCCTCCTTCTCACCTTCTTTTCTTTTGAGTTGGGGGTCTTCTTATGTAGTATACTTAGCTTTGAAGTGAGTGCAGAGATTTAATAAGGTATTTCGAAAGTTCACCTGGTTTGTGTGTGTGTGTTGTGTGAACACGCTTGTGTTTGTGTGTGTGTTGTGTAAACACGCTTGTGCTTGTGGAAACCAGATGCCACCCTTACCCATCCTCCTCAATAACTCTAGCACTCATTTCTTCTGGACAGGGTCTCTCACTGAAACTAGAGCTCAACAAGAGGCTAGACTGGCTGTCCAGGAAGCCCTAGGACCGGCCTCTCCCCGCCTCTCCAATCACGGTGCACGCTGCTGTGCCCAGGTTTTTACACGCATGCTTGGAGTCCAGCTCAGAGCCTCATGCTTTCAGGCCAAGCACTTTACCTGTCTAACCGTGCCCCTAGCTCTTGAAATTTCACCTTTGAAGAAAGCACTTTAGAAGTAGATATTTCCTCTCAGTCTGTATGGTTGTCCTCTCATGGTTTCAGTTGACTTATTCATCTGTCCAGTATATCTTCAGGAATAAGACTATAGGATCATAGATAATTGTGCTTGGATGATTGGTGATGCTATCTATGTATTTCATGTCATCAAAACATAGCCAGTGTCTTAAACTCAGTGAAGCTAAAGTTGAGTTCATGCGGTGGCAGCCCAACCTCTTCTATAAAGGCAACCTTTTCTCTTTTTTTGTTGATAATACACGATCTATGGGCAGGTGGCAGGATGTGGTACGCCAAATTCCATAACCTAGTTGCCTAATGGTTTTAATATCTGTTCATTCATATGCATTTCTTAGTCGGCACTTGTCCTCCTGGTTAGGCTTTGTGTGTGTGTGTGTGTGTGTGTGTGTGTGTGTGTGTGTGAGAGAGAGAGAGAGAGAGAGAGAGAGAGAGAGAGAGAGAGAGAGAGAGAGAACTTGATACAGGCTATATAATCTGGGCAGAAGGAGTATCAGTTGAAAAGTTGCATCCATCAGACTGACATGTAGGATCTATGGGACATTTTCCTGATTAATGATTGATGTGGGAGGGTCCAGATGACTGTGGGTGGTGCCACCCACAAGCTGGTGGTCCTGTGTGGTAAAAGAAAGCTGAGCAAGGCACAGGGAGCAAGCCAGTAAACAGTGTTCCTCTCTGGCCTCAGCTTCAACTCCTACCTCCAGGTTCCTACCTTGAGTTTCTGCCCTGACTTCTCTGATGATGAACTACAACTGTAAGCTGAAACAGACCCCTTTCTCCCCAAGGTGATTTTGTTCATGGTCTTATCACAGCCCCAGAAGCCAGACTAAGACAGAATTCATCTGGAAGGGGATTTCTCACCAACAGCGCTATAAACTTGCTGTGTAGCCAAGGCTGTCCCTGGAACTCCCGATTCTCTTGTTGGAATTACAGATGGAATTACATCTTGTCTAGCATGTTCATCTCAAAGTTGTTTAGATAAAACTTCAAGTCTACGTTGTACCTGGCACATAGAATGTGTTCGTTAAAAGTTAAAAAATGGGCAGTCATATCACGGATATTTTAAATTTATTGTGATCTTGCCATCTGGGACTCATAACTCTGGAGGTAAGGAAAACAACAGAATCAGAAATGGCACACCTTTTTGGGAATAAATTCTTGAAAGCTTTTAGAAACTATTCAAATAAGCTGAAATAAAAAAAATCCAATTCCATTAAAAGAATATAGTTTGTTTTCAAACAGGTAGTTTGCTTGTGGTTTTAGAGTTGCACTTGGAAATATACATCTGACTCCCCAAGATTAACATCCTACTACTTGCCTTTTGGGGTGTTTGGCAGGAAGCAGAAGGTGTGGCTTGTGATTTCTATTTTACATCTTCATGTAAGAAGGTAAGCAATGAAAAAGCCTTGGTGTGGTGGTTCATGTCCTCACTGCCTTGGGAAGTAGAATGATCAGGAGTTTAAGACCGTTCTATGCTTCATAAGAGAATGTGAGGCCCTCCTGTCTCAAAAAAAAAAAAAAAGCTTTGAACAAGGAGGAACCCATCTATTAACATCGGTAATGGTGGTTTAACTCTTTATATAGCAATTTTCACATTACCTTCTCTTAGCCTCACCACTTCCTCTTGGTTAGAACCGACAGCAGGGATCATCAACATCCTCTTTTTACACATTAGGAAACTGAGATTACCAAATGTGTTCTAAAGGCCTCCAGGGAATGCACAGGGGGATTGCCACTATTGAAAAATTATTGTTACTTATTAAGATGTAACTAACTCTCTATTGTGCATGTGAGCACCGTTGCTGCTATGCTACCGATGAAACCTAAGGCCACTTCACTTGAAGCCAGAGCTTTTCCACCGGACATGTCTCCAAACTCCTCCCAAATGTAATCCCTATCAACTCTATTTCAGGAGGAGTCATGACTTGCCAAAGGGGAAACTCAGCTGCGGAACAAAAGGAGTGAAGTGACTCAGTGGACAGAAAATTACTAACAGGGGAACAATGGCCGGGGTATTCTTGCTAAGGGCAGGATTTACATGCATCAAAGGTGGGAGGGTAAATCTGTTCAGATATTAAGTATTAAAATATGAAGAATGATCAGACAGCAAGAAAGATTCTGGGCAAAACTGAGCTCAGCTAGGACCAACAGGAAGGCCAAGGTGTAGACCTCTCACGGAAGGGGTCTTAGAGGAAACTAACGAAAAACATTTGGTGAAGGAGAGCCCGTCACGGTCCCATTCCCATGGGAGGAGTGGGGTGGCAGGCAGTAGGAGCTGCGGACTGGTGTTCCAGGGTCCAGCTCTCCTTTAAAGGAAGCATCGCCTAGCACTAAGGGCTGATGGAAAAAGAGAGGGCTCCCAATCCCTGCGACTCGCCCCGCCCCGTCCGCCCGTTCCCAGATTCGAGGCGGGCCCTGCAAGCGGAGATCGGAGACGCCGATTGGCTGTCCGCGCTCGTGGCCCCGCCCACTGGTGGCGCGCTCCTGCAGCCCGCGGGAGCGCGCACGGGCTCCAACCGGGCGGGAGGAGCCGGAGCCGCGTTCCTCCCCCGTCTCCCACCCCTCCACGGGTCCTCATCCTTAAAGCTCGAGTCCGCAGCCCCGCCTGTTAGAGAGGGCACCGGGCAGCGGAGAGCGTGTGGCCGCGGCGAGCCGGGGCTGACGGAGCAGGCGCCGGAGGCGACAGAGCGGCGGCAGCTGGCCCCGAGTCCCCGTGAGGGGGACGTTGGAGGGAGTCCAGGTCCTGGTCCGCAGCCCGGCGCCGTCGCAGCGCAGCCTGGCCCATTCTGCCCGGGCCACTGCCCTCAGTCTCCGAGGCGCAGTCGCTGGGGGCCGCCGCCACCCCGCGTGCGAGGCTCCTAGGAATTGGGTATCCGGACCCGTCGCGGTCCTTTTCCACCGCCGCCCGCACTAGGTAGCCGTCCTGCCGGAGACCATGTTCGACAAGACGCGGCTGCCGTACGTGGCCCTCGATGTGCTGTGCGTGTTGCTGGGTACGTAGGCGCCGCGGCCGGGGGTCTTCCGGGCGGGGACTGCCGCGGAGCCGCGCACTGGTGTGGGGTGGGTGTGCCCGGCGCGCGCGCGTGCGCCGCAGCTGCGGAGAGTGGTGGGGAGCCGCTTGCGCCAGCTGGGGGGACCCCCGCTTCTGCACCCTTGCACTCTGGCTCCTGCGTGGGCTCCCCCTGCCTGTCTGCCGGTGCGCTGAGGCTAGCTCTGCTTGGCCGCTTTTCTCTCCTGTGCTGTTACCCTCCGTTTCCCTGCCCACTCTACCAGACAGGGTGGGCTCCTCCCTCTCCACCGTGCAGAGAACCCTAGTCGCTGGCTCATCAGGTTCTGCAGTAAAACTGGAGGTTTGGTGCACCCCGGCTTCTCGGGAGCAGGCTCTAGTGCCCGGTTGATCATACTTGTGAGAAGCACTTTCAAGTTTTCGTCTATAAAAGGCTTAGAACGTTCCTAATTAGAAGGCGTTGTCAGGTTGTAAATTGTCAGGTTGCAGAGGGGATGAGGATGCCAGGTTTCTGCCTGGTGAGGTCTGAAGAAGCTTGTCCTCTCCCCCGCCCCCTCCCGCTCCGCAGGAGTCCTGCTGTTTCCTTTGCCCGTGGTATACCTTTCTGTCTCCTGTGACAGCCCAGCAAGGAGTTCTAGACACTTCTTTAGCTACAGGAAAAGTGGGCGTTATTTTCCTGATTGGAAGAATTCAGTTTGGGGGGCTCTGGTTGCCAGGTGTTTCTTTTCCGGGTGGGGGAATGGGGAGCTGGACAGGCATCGGAAGGAGTGGCTTCCACCTTTCTTTCTGTATAGTGTCAGTTGTAAACCGTTGGAGGTTTGGGTGGTGGATCACAGGTTGAAGTAATTGACCGTAGTCCTGGCCAATTCTCAAGGCGACTAGTGCCTTCTGCCTCTTAGATGCAAATCTGCTTAGTGGCTTCTCGGAGTTAGGACAAATTTCCCCAGGCTTTAACTTAGCAGCTTTTGGCTATTCCTCTCTCCCGCTTCCAACTGACCATGTAGGTGTCTGTAATCTTGTCAGACTGTTAAAATTTCAGTACCTCTTTTTTTTTTTCAATCTTAAATGCGTTTTCTTAGCGTTCTTTCTTTAAAAAATATCTGTGCAACTTCTTTATTTACTAGGACACCCCCACCCTGTAGTTTCACAGTTAACTGTACGGTTTAAAAGAGGGGATTCAGTCTTAGGACAGGCTTTAGATAGGATGTGGTAGCCTGTAACACAGGCACCTGTGAGGTGGAGGCAGGAAATATTTAGTTCAAGTCCACCCTAGGCTACCTAGGGAGGTCCTGGGTCACTAAACAAAAACAGTTTTTATGGAAATATCTTTTCAGATGTTAGGACGTATTATTTAAAAATTATTAGCTTATGTAATATTTTTCTTTTTTCCTTTCTTTTCTTCTTACCTTTCCCTCTCTCCCTTTCCTCCTCCTTTCTGGCCAGGGTCTTGCTGTACAGCCTGGTTTGGAACTTGTGCCTCTTCTTCCTCAGCCTCCAGAGTGTTGGGGATGTTGGCATCCTCTTCCGTGCCTGACTAAATTAAGATACCATTTTCCTATGGACCAGACACCGATTAGGAAGGCTGAAACAATACATACTACCCATAGGTAGCCACAGCTAATGTTATTAATAGGAAGCTACTAGACTTTTAAAAAATTCATGTGTGAGCCTGGTGTTCTGTCTCATGCTTGTAATCCCATCGCTCAGAAGGTTAAGGTAGGAAGACCGTCGTGCATTAGAGGCTAGTCTGGGCTACATAGTGAGTGAGTTCAGGTCAGCCTAATCTACAGAGTGAATCCCTGCACTGAACAAAGAAAGTGACAAAGGTCATGTATGGGGGGAAACATGTATGCAGTGAAATTTTTAAGTTGTATTGTATTTTCTGGTGGTCTATATTTTCAACATGATACATTCTGTTGATATTGCAGTAATCTGACGGTCCCAGTTGACCCCACAGTTTCAGGAATATGATGTGTGTGTGTGTGTGTTGTGTGTGTTATTTTTTGAGACAGGTTTCCTCTGTGTAGCCCTGGCTGTCCTGAACTTGCTCTGTAGACCAAGCTGGCCTCGATCTCACAGAGATCCGCCTGCCACTGCCTTCCTCCTGAGTGCTGGGAGTAAAGGTGTGTGCACCATCACTGCCTAGTCTTTCCCATACCTCTTGGATTTTTTTGAAACGTGACACCTGTAGCCTAGGCTGACCTAGAACTCACTATGTAGCCCAGGCTGCACTTGAACACCCGCCAGTCCTCTGTGCCAGCCTCTAACGTGTCAGGTCTATAGGCGTGAGCCACCACACACAGCTACGGTGTCTTCAGTGATTTGGAGAAAAACTCTTTTGGGGGATTTCACATTACGTTTGCTTTTTAAAAAAAGATCTTCATCTATTTGAATCTTATTTTATCTGTGTAGTATTGTTTCTTGTGCTGATACAGCAATTTCTTTTAAAGTAGTGCAGTGTATTGCCAAGATAGCCCAGATTTCTCTTTTCCTAAGTAGAAGGTAACCTACTTACTTTAATTAGATGTTTACAAAATACCGTTAGGTTTAACAACATCAACTCTCGCAGATAACACTAAGGGAGAACAATGATACAGATCTTCTAAGACTGACTTTTGGAAGGTAGGTTTTCCTGATAAACTTTACCCTTTCTAGAAGAGTCTAAGGATTGTACTAAATTTGGGACAGCCAGGGATTGGCAGCCTAAGATTGTCTTTGCTTCAAGAAAGCTTTCAGCCTGGCTTGAACTTTTTCCTTTTTCCCTTTTTTCTGTGTAGCATCTACAGGTAAGCATCAGGTAGACTGACGGAAAGATGATTAAGCACTTCATAAGTATAGGTTGTGTGAAAGTGATCATAATTATAATGTGAATATGTTCCACATTCTGTTAATGAATACCCATTTTAATATGATGATGTTACGTGATTTCGTTACACAAGTATTTTATAGTTTTTACCCAGGGTGATGTCTTTTGAAGTGATCATTAAACACTATGTGTATATGTGTTTATGCATGTTTGTTTTAAAATAATCTCCATTAAATCTTCTGTATGCACATCTTAATTAGTAGTGCCTTCAGTGGATTTGGGAAATGCTTGAAAAAAGAGAAATTTGAGAGAGAATATGTATTTGATTCTTCTGAAATAGAGTCTTGTCATCTTCTGGCTTTTTTTTTTTTTTTTTGAGTCTTTGATTCGACAAGCCTACCATTGATTTCTATTTAAATTTGCTTGATTTCTTCTTTATTTATAGATATGGTCTCATCGTTTAGAGGTGAGATATATATTTTGGCTGGCCTAGAACCCACCATGTGAACCAGGCTGACCTTAACTCAGAGATCTACCTGCCTTTGGCTTCTAAGTGCTAGGATTAAAGACATGTGCCACCGCACTTGGCCTTACTCTGTTCTTTTGACCAGTGGTTCTAGAACTGTTGGTAAGTCCATCTACAATCCCCTGAACACATATGGAAAACAGTAGAGAGTTGGTATAAAAGTAGCTATTTTAGCCCAATGTATTATACTGTGTCCTGAATATAATGTACCTCTTAATTACTAAGGATCAATATGTATTTTTAGCCACTAGTTAATAAACAATGAGTCCATTAATTGATTCAGTGCCCACGGAGGGATGGCTTTTGTACCTTGAGAGTGCTAGGGGTATAAAGTTAAATAGGACAGTCACTTCCCTAAAGGAACTCAGAGTCTAATGAAGGAGAAACAAACAAGATGTTACATCATGTTAAGTGTGCTAATGCAGGTATTCTGCCCTTTGACCACAGAGAAGGGCTGTGTCTTAGATCTATACCATTATGGAGGAATGACTTATCTCTTTACTCTCAGAGATATGGAGATGCCAGAAGTTGCCTAGCATTACTCTTAGAATTTTTTCTTTTTTTCTTTTTTTTTTATTTATTATGTATACAATATTCTGTCTGTGTGTATGCCTGCACGCCAGAAGAGGGCACCAGACCTCATTACAGATGGTTGTGAGCCACCATGTGGTTGCTGGGAATTGAACTCAGGACCTTTGGAAGAGCAGGCAATGCTCTTAACCGCTGAGCCATCTCTCCAGCCCATCTTAGAATTTTTTCTACCCATTTTTTTCTCCTTGATCTAGGGGAGTGGGAAGTCAAGTATGTGTGCTGGTGATCTATCTGCAGGCAGTCCTGTGATATATAGAAGATTGAGGTGGAGCTGGCGAAGCCGCCTTTTGCGTGTCTGCATTTTGCACTTCATAATTCCTTTCTGTGCTGCACAGACGTAGAAATGACGGTGGCGACCTGAGGATGTGCTCCCGTTCCCAACTGTTCTCTCTCTTCACATCCTTCCTATGCTTTCAAGTTGTCTCCTCTAGTTTTTTTTCTTGACTGTATCATTTGAATGTGCTGGGCTTGTTTGTTTGTTTGTTTGTTGTGCTCTAGTTGTTTTGGTCAGGCTCTGATAATACCCATCTGTGTTCAGACTGAACTGAGGAAGTTTTCCTGTTTGCACCAGTTAGAACTGTCATGACAGCAGGTGCCACAGGAGCCCTTGGGGTCTTGCTGGCTTTTTTTTTTTAAAGGTGTTTATTTATTTTTATTTGTGGTGTGTGGTGCGTGTGTGTGTGTGTGTGTGCGAGAGAGAGAGAGAGAGAGAGAGAGAGAGAGAGAGAGAGAGAGAGAGAGAGAGAAAGCTAGAGAGCCTGTTTGATTTTGTGTGTAATCTTTGCACAATGCCTGTAGAGTAAGATGGTGTCATTTACCCTGGAACAGTTGGTTGTGTGCCACTGTGTGGGTGCTAGGAACGGAGTCTGGGTCCTCCAAAAGAGCAAGTGTTCTTAACCACTGAGCCATCTCTATCATCCTAGGGTGGTCCAGTTTCCTTACCGTGCTCCAAATAAAGCATCGTTGTGCCAAACCAGTCAGTGTAGAATAAAATTTGGCGGACAAACATTGGCTACCAACAGTAGGGACTTGTGAAATCCATGTTACTTGTTACCCAAATACTGATGTCTCATTTCTTTATCACAATGCTGACATCCTACCCTGTTAACAGACTCCCTAAGGAGCAATTCCTTTGCTAATCCCCAGGATGAGTTGCTTTAAGAATAAAGAAAGAAATGTGGAAAGAGTTTGGCTTCATAGTCTTCACCATTTTTGTACCTTACCTTTTCTCCTAAAACTGATTTCATCATTCATTTGCTAGCAGCTGAGTAGGTCCTAGCTTCAGTTAAAGACATTTCTTCTGCTTCTTTGCCTTTTCTCATTGTCTCTAATCACAGAGGAGAGAAGGGATCTCAGAGGGAAGAAAAGTTGGTCAGAGTAAGATTTTGTTCCAAGGCTTTCTCTTAAGTTGGGTGGGCAGTTTGAAACAAGAGCAGAGGCTGGAGGGGCTGCTACTATTTGGTGCCTACTTGGTTTCATGAAGTAGAGTTGACTTTGCCTTAAATGTGCCCCACTTGGACTTGGTGTGGAAATGTTAAGAGAACTTTGTCCATATATGTTTTATGAGCTGCGAATTCTTCCTTCATATTCTCTTTGAATTCGATCCTTTTGGAAACCCAGACATGCTATGAATCATATTAATCCCATTCTCATTTAGTCATTTTTGGCTGAACTCTATTAACGTGTCCGAGATGTTTGGAGAATTACTCTGATTCTAAAAACCCGAGGTTTTACTATTTAAATATGAGGTTGCTAATATTTGCTGAGAGATGGAGATGTTGCAGCATAGGTGAGCAAACAGAGTCAGGTGGACTAGTTAGCATAGCATGTACTTTCTCTTTTTGTGGAAAGGAATTTGTTTCTTTTTTAATTACTTTGTGTGCATGGTGTTCAGAGAACACCAGTGAGCAGTCTGTCTTCTCCCACTTGTGAGCAGGTTCTGGGAGGTGGACTCAATTGTCATGTCTGCATGGCAAGCCCTTACACTGGCTGAACCGTCTTACTGGCATATAGTCTGCACCGTCAGCTAATCAAGTGTTGATCATATAGGTGCATTTTGTCTCTATTTTCTTTTCAAAACAGCATGTACCTTCCAGAAGTTATGCATGGTGGTTGCAAGAAGCTTTCAGACTTTTTTTTCTTTAAAAAATGTTCTTGTTCTTTCTCTTTTTTTTTTTTTCCAGTTAAACCAGAAAGGGGGGCCTCTCATGTAACTCAGGCTGGCTTTGAACTTGCTATCTGAAGATTACCTAGTACTCCAGAGCCTCCTGCCTATGTCTCCCGAGTGCTGGCATCAGGGGAGTGCACCATCGTGCCTGGTTTTATGAGGTGCCTGGGATCAAACCTGGCCTTCTTAGATGTCTAGGAATAGTCTGCCAGCTGAGCCACATTCCCCACTGGTTGTCATTCCTTCCAACTTCTTTTTCTTTCTCCTGATTTTTCTTTAACCATTAGGTTTTTAAAGTCTAGATGGTTTAGGCAGAGTTTTGTTTTGCTTTTAGTTTTTTTTTTTCTTAACCAAAAGAAGTCTAGACTTGGAAATGACGTTCTCTTTAAAATGTGTAGACTTTTCTTTAGCACATTGGAGACAACACGTTCTTGCAGTGGACTTCGGACCTATACTTCCTCAATTCACTTTCTTTTTCTTTAGTTTATTAACTGTGTGTCCTTGGGAATGGTCCCTCTGAATATCTGTTTCCTCAGCTGTATAATATCTAATAACCTATTTACATCTCTTTTGTGAAATTTAACTGAGCCAGTATGTAAATTGCTTGGAGAAGTGCCTGGCACTTACTCTATATGTTGAGTAAAATAATTCCCTGTAATTGTGGCACCCATAACACAGTAACTGGTAGAAGTCACATCACCTATTTTTGTATTAGGGCTAGAAAGACAGACTTTAAAGTGTTTCCCATGAGAGCTCACAGAATGCTTTTGAGGCTGGTGTTCTATCAGTTAAGTCTAAAACCCACGTATATGCAGTAGTAATTCCAGGCGAGGTAGAAACTGATCTGTTTAGCTTTGATAGTGTGTAATTAAGTAAATGGAAAAACCCGTTACTATATACAGTGATCAGTCCTAAATTTCACCTATTTAAAAGAGAATTAGTTATACTCTTACTATTTTTACTGTTTTAAAATCTTCGGAATGGTTGCTCTGCTTGTTTTAAAAGATTTTTTTTTCTTTTGATTTGGTTTTGTTTTCGAGACAGGGTTTCTCTATAACAGCCCTGGCCGGCCTGGGGCTTGCTTTGTAGATCAGGCTGGCCTCCAGGTCACTGAGATCCACCTGCCCCCGCCTCCTGAGTGCTCTGATTAAAGGTGTGCGCCACCACCACCGGACCTAAGATTTTTTTTTTTTTTTTTTGGATTGCAGTACTTGTACATTTTTATTTGTATACAAAGTCTCCCTCCTTTTTTGAGGCAGGATTTCTTGTTGTTCAGGTTGGCGTAGAACTCTCACTGTAACCAAGGGTAACCTTGAACTCGTGAGCTGTCTGCCTCTCCAGCACTGGAGCTTAGACCTGCCCCATCTCATTTATATGCATTCTGTAATTTGAATTTCTCTCTGTAATGAGGCTGCGAAGAAATAGTTGTGTAGTAACCTCTCTCCCTCTCCTTACTTGTTTCTTTCCTTTTTTGTGAGCTGTGTGCTGTGTGTGTTTGCAGTGTGTCTGTGTGTGTTTGCAGTGTCTCTGTGTACGTGAATGCATGCACGTGTAGAGGTCAAAGGTCAGCCTCAGTGTTGCTCCTCAGGAACCTTGTGTTAGGAGACAGGTTCTCTCATGGGGATCCAGGTCTAGCGAGCCTCAGGGAGCCTCCTGTCTTTGCCTCCCCAGTGCTGGAATTACAAGGTTGTGCCACTATGCCTGGCTTTTTTTAAAAAATTAATTAATTAAAGTATGGGAGCTAGAGATTGGACTCAGATCCTCATGCTTGCTCAGCGAGCACTTTACCACCTGAGCTATCTCTCCAGTCCTCCCTCTTTCTCTCATTGGGTCTTTCTTTTTCTCCTTTTTTCACTTGCCCCCCCCCCCCCACACCTGCCCACAGTTTTCTTTCAGGCTCCTATAGTCCAGATTGGCTTCAAACTGGCTTTATACCTTAAGCTGGCCTTTGTGCCTGATCATCTTGCTTCTGCCTCCTAAGTGTTGGGATCTCGGGTCCATGCCACCACACTGGGCTGGGCTTTGTTTTACAGATATTTATTTGACGTATGTTAACCTGAAATTGTCTTTATGTTGTATAAATCTAGCGTTAGGTTTTGAAAGGTACTTGTGTCTGTATCCCTTTTCACTAAATCACAAGCGCACATTTAGTGCTTGCCGCCGTGCTAGGAGCTGAACGCCCGTGAGAAAGGTAGGCTCTGTGTGCTCCTGTGTGACAGACAGGTGACGAGGTCGTGGAAGAATTGAGAGGAACACGCCATGAGGCTTTGGAGGTGGGGGGTGGCTTCTGTCAGGAAGGAGTGTTTGTAAAGAGAGATACAGTGAAAGTGAATTGCCCGTGGAGGAGCGAGGGGGCTGATAGTAAGCACGGGGGAAGAGCAGGTGCTGGGGCCCAAGGAGGAAAGGGCATTTTAAAATAGAAAAGAGGCCTCTGGCCAATTTTGACATTGCTGTGGCGTTTTGGAGTTCATCATGACTAGGGAAATATCCCTTAAACTTCAAGGCAGAAGTGGTTTTTGTTTGTTCTTAGATTCTACATGTCCCCTCCATTCTGGGACTTTTCTCTTTCAAACCTTCAGTGTTACTGTTGCTGGCCGCAGGCGTGACCAGCAGTGACCCCGTGAAGCCCGAGTGCTGCAGATGTGTGCAGTGAGGTGATGGCTTCGGGGTGTAAGCAGCGGTCCACAGAAGAGATGCTCATCAGCGGATACAGCCATAAAACAAAGCAGTGTCTCTTCGGACTTAAAAATTGCCCCTGAGCAGCTTATTTTATTTTTATTTAATCAAACAAACAGGGCTTTTCCATGAAAAAAAAAAGTAGGAAGAAGACCAGTGTGGCTGAACATGCACCTAGACGCCACCTCCTAGGCTTCCCCCACACCTCCTCACTTGAACCCAGGGCCTTATATGTCCCAGGAATGCGTTCTACCCCTGAGCCTCTCCCCACAGTTCTTAATATCAGTGCAGAAAATAATAACATTGACTAGGGCTTCCTGGGCCTGTGGAGACTTGATCAGAGCGATTTGCTTGGCCGTCTCCTCTCTGTAAGGGATGGAGCTATAGGGTAGGTGAGAATCTGACCCAAAGCAGCTGTCAGTGGTGTGGGTCAGGAATTGGGAGTGTACTTTTGAGTACTGTAACTTTTGAATGGTTATTAATTGGTTCAGATTGGGGTAAGTCGAATGAGTGGATAAAGAAATGGGTGGAGCAGTATTCGGCTAACTAAAAATAGTGATTACTGTAGGTGGCCCCAGTGTTTTGTGATTTACTTTGTTTGGTTGTGTGGTTTCAGAGTCAGGGTCTGCTCGCCATGTTTTGAGCATGGAATCTCTGAGTTTTCCAATTCAGATTTGTAGTAAGCACGAAGAGCTAGTAGTGAGGAAACTAGCTGGGGTGTAATTGAAGATGCAGCTAATTTGCCTGGTTCAGTGGCCTGCCTGTAGCCTTTTCCTCCAACGGTGTTATTGCTGCAGACATTCCTTCTGCCTTCTCACAGGAAGGGAAGAACCTTTGCTCTTCCTGTACTTCAAGTGAATCATGTGTAGTGCTCAGAGTAAGGCAGCCAGGCAGACGGAGCTGAGCCTCGTGGTTTAGTCCCACGCTGTCAGTTCTTGGAAACGTTGCTTGAGTCTTTTTCTGGGTTAGGTGTCTAGGAAAATGACCTATAGGAAATGGGTAGTGGAAAAGCTCTTTAGTTAATTGGCGGCTTCTTAAGCTGGGCTCTGCTTGGCTTCTGAGTTCATGTCCATCCATGGTAGGAGAGATGGGTTGGCTGCTGTAGGGCTAGAGAGGTAGATGAAGAGAGAAGCATTGCTTATCGGTGGTTTGCCATTTGCTTTTGGTAAATGTTTTACATAAACTCACGTGCCATGACACAGCTGTGAAGTGTATGGTATGGCTTTATTTTATGCCCTGTCGCAGGGAATGCAGAAATGACTGCAATAATAACGCTCATTATGGAACACAGACTCATGGAGAAGTTATTATATTACTGTTTGGTAAGTCACTAATTCTTACACTGAGATTGCCAAGAATGAATTAAACAAGGTCTCCATCCTCAGAAGTGCACACAGTCTTGTAAGAGGAAATGGACTTCATTCAGAAATCTGCATTTAAAGACCATTTCCCCTAGACTGTTGCTTTTCTTTATGGCAGAGGTGATATGAAGCTTCAGGAATTTGTTTTTTTTTTGGATGGTGCTGAGTTATGGATCCTGTAGAAAATTTAGGAAACCAATCCATACAGATGACATTGTCACAGATCTTAGAAAGTATGTGGTATATGGTAGGCATTCAGATGCTTGTCGTATGAATGGATGGGTGCGTCAGCTAATCTCCTGCGGCTTGAGAACACTCTTGAGTCAGCCACTCACAGAATTCTAGCTCCGCGTGTTCCTGTGCTGCTACCCGGCAGGTCACCCTAGCTCCTTCACAATGAGAAGGCTGCTGCTCCTAGTGTCTTCCTCAGTGCTGTGGAACAGATGAGATAATGTGTGAGACAGTGTTTGTGACATGTGTAGTTTAGTCTTGCCTGCAGTAGGCACTCTTGTAATTTTAATCATTATCGTTATTAAGCTAATCAGCCAATTTTGTGTCGCTGACACATGGTATTTAAATGGGATTTCCTTTGCTAGTGAGTTTGCTTTTGGAATGTAGTTGAATGTAGTTCTAATTACAATTTATTCTCATTCAGATCCCCCCCACCGTGTGTGTGTTTGTGGGTGTATGATAGGAATCAAATCCAGGGTCTCATGCATGTCAAGTAAGGACTGTACCACTGAACTACAGCCCTGACTACAATTTCAGTAGCATTGAAGATGCTCTTCAGAGCCAGGTGTGGTGGTGCCCTTCTTTAGTTCCAGTACTCAGAAAGCAGAAACAGGCGGATCTCAGAGTTCAAGGCTAATCTGGTCTACGGAGTGAGGTTCAGGACAGCCAGGGCTACACAGAGAAACCTTGTCTTGAGAAAACCACCACCACCGCCGCCGCCGCCGCCACCACCACCACCACAAAAAAGAATATGCTTTTCAGTTTTTGGCCCATTTCTGTTTCTGATCCCCAGATTGCTGTGGGTAGTTTTTCCTTTTCATTTTTTTCTTTTCCCTTCCCTTTCTCCCTCTCCCTCTCCCCCTCCTCTCTTTCTTTCTAAAAAACAGGTTCTTGTATATCCCAGATTGACCTCAAACTCTATAGGAAGCTGCGAATGGTCTGTGACTACCTGGTTGTCCTGCCTCTGCTTCCAGAGAACCAGGATTACAGGTGGCAGCCACCACACCTGGCTTGTTTGATTATTTCTAACCTGCTTCTTCCTGGAATCAGATCCTCATTGTACATCTGTTTGTTTTCTAGGTGAGCAGTATTCTCACAGCTCATGTGCAAGGAAACTAACGCGTGTTCGTGGCTTGAGAGACAACAGCAGGCTAGAAACAGGAATAAAGAGGGTGTTGGTGTTGTGAGGTTAGAATGGTTTGGGTAGTATAGCTTAAGTCAGTGCTTGACTTTCTTGATGTAAGCTGGTCAAGAGCTAAGGTCGACCGAGCTAAACTGTTTGCTGTCTGTATAACCCTTCGTAGTCAGTGTTAGCTTAAGGAAAGGATGCCTGCCACGGTCGTGCTTACCACTAGTGTTCTGGATAATTCTAACTCAGGGCATTTGTTAAACATATGACTTTTTTTTTCGAATTTTCATTACATAATTAAACATTTACAAATGACACCCTAATTTGGTTTAGTTATCCAGAGTCACAGAGGCAAGGGATATTTGTTGTAATTTTTTTTTCCAAAGGACATAAATAAGATACAAATATTAAGTGTGCTATTTTCCAAATATTGTCTACATCTGGCCCAGTAGCCCAGTTAGAAAGGTTTCTTGGATGTTATCAGAACTTGTTAGTTGGGTTATGGGTAATGGTGATTTTACAGTTACTGTCGTTGTCTGTCTTAAAGCTGTGAGAGTTCAAGTGCTGCCACTGAATGTAAACTCCTAAGATCCAGAAACAAATGTATAGCCCTTTTATGAAGATAAGTTCTTGCATGGATTTCCCTTGCTCATGATTAAACATTGTGGGTGGTTCTTTTTAGTGGATGGCAGTCTATTTGTACAACTTTATTTGAAGAATTAAAAGTGTGATTTCATAGGAACAGCCACTGACTTAGAAGTCTGATTCTGCTCTTGCCTCTGCTACTCTCTGTGCTCTTCGTGACCAACCACTTGGCCACTTTATTCAGTCTTATGTAAACCACGATGACACTGATGCCTGTCTCAGGGTCTGAGTGGTAAGTGAGGCACTGTCAGGACAGTCGAGACTCTGCTGCAGATTGTATTGCTGTAGTTCATACCAGTGGACTTCGGACAAAGGGACCACAGTCCCCTGAATATCAGGGGACTGCCATCTGCGTCAAAGGAGTTTGTCTTTTCATAAAGCATGTCTGTCACAATTAGGGAGCAAAGATAAAACATTTAGGGGACTCCTTTAGAGCTATAATCTGCCTGTGACCTGTAGGACACTTAACTAGGAGAGGTGCCCATTTAACAGAATTAACACAGTAGCTGATTGATGGTTGGGTGGTGATGTCTGACTGTTAGGCTTGAATGCTATGGTCGGGCTGCAGCTAACAGATGGTTTATTACCATGTATATCTACAGATCCATAAATCCTTGGGGAATTTCACATACTTACCCTACAACTTCAGAGACCCAGGGGCCACCCAGAATTACAATACCATAATATCTTGGCCCAAATTACAAGTAAGCTTTAACAAGTTTGAGTCCTATATAAGAACCATATTCCCTTTTACCTAATAATTTTCCTAATAATAAAGCATACATTTAAAAACGTTGAGGTATTTGAAAGAATAGGAGCAACCCATCTCTGCCATCCTCACAGTTCTGGTGATGTCAGCCTTCAGTGCTGGTGGACCCTGCAGAGATTTGACCCAGAGCCAGTACCTAGGCCAGAGGCCAGAGCCTCTCTGGAGCTCTCAGGACCTGGGTATTGCTATCCCACACTGGTTGCTGCGATTTCTGGGCTCTCTGGGCCAGATCCAGGGGCTGATTTTCAGTGTCCTTTGGATAGGGGTCATATTTATAGTGATTCAGATTTCCTGAAGTAAGAAATTTGTTCTTTAGGTTAGCCAATTAATTCGGCTTGTATTTTGAATTTACTAGGGCAATGGGTAGCTCTCTGGAAGACCTTCATACCCTCAGATGTTCCATGATGAAGGGTGAAATCCTAGAGCGGGGCATGGTGGCACATCTTGGGCTTAGGAGTTGGAGGCCAGTTTCAGTCACACAGGAAGACTGTCTCAGCAACAAACAAGGACAACAACAATATTCCAAAACAGCAGCCAAAGCCTGGATTTGGAAGGCAGGGCCTTGGCTCAGCAACCAAGTAACAAGTAAAGTTGCTGAGCCACAGAGTTAGACATTTTGAGCTGCCAAGTATATCAAATAAAATTATGATAGAAATGTTAAGACAGGAGGCAAAGCTTTATTGATATTGATGCAATAAGGGTAATATGATAAAGGGGATAAATTGATACACTTTATTATGCCAGCTTTGTATCTGTGAAAAACTATTCAAAATGAGAGTCAGAATTGCAATTTTAGCAGAGCTTTATTGTAATACTTCGTATTAATGTGTAAAACATTTTCATTAACTAGCATATTGAACTTTTGCAGAATTCTTTTGTATTCATGGCATATATAAACTCTTAAGTGTAGGGACACTGCAGCTGCTTGAATCTCAAGTTCATCGCTCCAGGTTTTTGTCTAAAAAGGACTAGATCTCTGTCTCTATATGTAACTCCTGTTCTGTGGCTTGGTGCTGCTAGGTACATTGTAGGCATTTGTTTCTTCCACAAACATGTGATCATTCACCATGTGCCAGGCCCTGGGGTAAGTGGTGGTCACAAATAGTGAAGCCAAAACCAGCGCATGCTTTTGAGGGAGAACTTAGGAGCTATGGTAGCTTATAGGAAGAGGCTTTAATTACTTTCTGGCTGGGCATGTCATGTTCAGTAGGGGTTTAGCATGTGCATGGGCTAAAAGTCCCATGCCAAACCGAAACAAAAAACTTTGCTTGGTAGAGTACTAGATTAGAATTTAGAAAGGGGGGCTCAGAGAGATGAGATAGGCTTTGGAAACTGAGGTAATGGTAGTTAGATTAATGTAGTTGCTGGTGGAATTTGGGAGGCTCTAGGAACCCATTTTAGTGACAGTGTAGGCAATTGGTAAGAGATAGCTATACCAAAAATAGTTCTTAAATAAAGGGCACTAGGAGAGAACCAGATGTCAAGGTGAACGGAGAAGAGATGATGAGTTTGGTTTTGGGCTCATTAAACTTTAAATACCTTTGAAATGCTTACGGAGAGATGCCAAGTTGCAGAACTCAGAGGAAAGTGTTATTTTAGGAGTCAAAGACATATTTGTAGTCATTGAACTCAGGAGAACTGTCAGAGTCCAGGAAGACGTTACAACACGAAAAGACTACCTCAGACTATCATGGCTGCAGTAATCAGTGAAGCGAAATTGCTGGGTAGAGTTAAATCTCTTAAGAAGTTGTAATGATAGGCCGAGGAGCTAGCTCAGTCTGTAAGGCATTTGCTGTACACGCCAGGACCTCCGTTTGATTCGCCAGCCCCACGTAGTGAGCCAGTCAGAGGCCTGCACGATGGCTCAGCAGGTAGAAAAGCACTTGCCACCCACGCCTGACTCAGAACCCATAGTTCAAGGTGAGAGCTGACGGCTGAGTGGTCTCCTGACCTCCACCCTCCCACATCATACACAGGCAATCATAATAAAATGGAAAAAGCTGGAACTGGTGATGTATGTTTGCAATCCCAGGGGGACAGAAACAGGTACTCCCTGGGGCTTGGTGGCCAGCCAACCTTGCCTGCTCTGGTGAGCTTTAGGCCAGTGGGAGACCTTGTTTGTTTCATAAGCAAGGTGGCCAATGCTTCCCTTTGGCCTCCCCACACAGGTGCGCCCATGCCGTCTATACATTAAGAGAGTATGGTTGTGATGAGGAGGGCAGGTGTGGACGGTGAAGATACTCAGCATGGATACGCTCAAGCTCATGCCGATAGAGACAGGTTCAATATGTGGTTCAGGCTGGCCTGGAGCTCTCCATCCTTCTGCCTCAGCTTGCATGCCCCCTCCTCCTCTCCCTCTTATTTTGTGTGTATGTGTATATGGACACAGTGTATGGGTGGGTGGGAGGGGGCACACACGACGCATGCCATAGCCTGCGTGTGGAGGTTGGAGAACACCACTGCAGCCAGTTCTCTTCTCCCACTTTTATGTGTGTTCTTGGGGTCAGATTTAAGTCACCAGATTTACATAGCAAGCACCTTTACCAGTCTAAGCATCTTATTGGCCTAGCCAGCTCTTGAATTCAGAGATTATGGGTGTGTGCTGCTAGGTCAGGCTTAATAGGATCATTTCTTTTCGAGGAGAATGAGAGGAAGACC